ATCAGCTTTAGTAATTCACCATAGAAGTGGGGGGAAATGGGCTCAGGATCTAATTTTACTTTCTCACTGATTACCTGCAGGGTCTGAGTTTAGAAATCTCTTGAGATTGAAGTACAAAATGCTTTTTTCCTGAGCTGAAGGGATAGATTATTAATTCACACATAAATCTGTGCATAAGATACTGAGTAGAACCAGACTTTTGCTGTGGGAGTTGGTTTTTGATAATTCTAGTGAGAGTAGAAACAATAATGCAGAGAACATGCTTGTACCATGGAGATTTCATCTGGTTTCTGCAGTGGGGAAAGAGACATGAAGTGTGAGCTCTTTGGATCCCTTGGACCATTGCTGTGCCAATTCCCAGTGCAGGTTTTGACCTGTAAAGTATTTAGGGAGTGAAAAAGAAGAATCCCACATGTCTCTCAGTGACTGATTATACCCCCTCTAAACCAGCAATGACTTATCTGATTATTTTCTTCTTTTTATAGCCTTTCACATGTGTAGGAACTATTTTCTGTTATTTTCTACAGGAAGTATAGACCCTATCTTGCAATATAAATACTACATTGAGTATGATTTATTATTGTCTGGACCCTGAGCAGTGTGAAGTCTGTATGATCCAATTTGTTTGAGGGCTTGAGGCAGCTTAATCCAGTCCAATGCCTTGTCTTTTACTGCCACTTCCTTTAGTAATTTCACATGCTAAACTTATTTTTCTGCCACTCACCTCTAATATACTTTAGTAAATTCTTCCACAGATTATTATTATTATTATTATCATCATCATCATTATTCAAAGTGGGACAACAAGATAATGTGTTTTTCCAGAATATAAAGATGTGGTAACAATAAAGGTCTGTATAGCTCAGTGCAATGTCTCTGGTAGTAGATGTTTAAAGAACAGTAAAAGAAAACATTGTGTATCCTTTCCCAGATATACTTTCCTAACTTCATAGGGATTTCCTTTGCTGGAAGTTTCATCTTGTTTAATTGCATTTAAATTGATTGAAGTATTTATGTTGAATGTTGTTTTGTAATTTAGCTTCCAGATCATGGACTAGAGATAAGTGCCACAAAGTAATTTTGGATTGAGAGAGAAAAGAACTCATTCTTGTTTTCTCTTATTGAAATAGTCATCTGGCCTTCTCTTGGCTTTGCTTTTCAGTAAATTCAGTACTGTATCTCCAGGGCAGGAAACACAAGACTCTATTAAACATATCCTGTGTAACAGCTGAGGGATCAGTCCATATTGATAAACTGCTACAGTTCTGCAGGTCAAGAGTAGCTCAAAGGTATGTGTCCTGAAGAAACTAAAAATTCAAGTTGTAATACTGGAAAACACCTTTTGGGTCTATCTAGCAGTGTAATTACAAGCAAAACAAAAAGAAAGGTTGACCTGCATTCTTATTAGCGTGGCTGCCTGCAAAATAATGTAGCTGTAAGCCTCCATTTTGTCACAGTATTTTTTTAATGCTATTCCATGAAATAACAAAAATAATTCCTAGTTTGTGGCATCTCCCATATAAACCTATGGTAACAAATGTTCCTGCATGCTGAGTAGAAGAATTAGAATATAGTAGTCAAAATAAGGGTCCAGGTCTCCTTGTCTGGGAACATAATATTATATTTACTTCATAGAGGTGTAAATTGAGGATGGAAGAATCTAGAAGGACTGGTAGGTGTATGTGTGTTAAGAGCACCTAAAGCCTGTAAGGTCAAAGAGGTTCCTGCTGACTGTATGATTATAGCATTGTGCTGTAACCAAGGGAAGCAAAAGCTGCTGCTTTTGACTTCGTTACCAGGGAAGGGAGGAGAAAGGTGCAATACAATTTGAGGAAAGATTTATTTATTTATTTATTTTTAAAATTTCTCTGTGAATTACTGTATTTCATCTCTAGAAAGCCATGCAACTGTTTTGGGACTGGGCTGACTTATATTCTTTCCAATAGAACTATCTTATCTTGGTGCATGAAGTAAAGTATTGGAGGAATAGATCCTCCATCTCTTTAGACTTTCAAACCCATGGCAAGAAAATTGTCCTATAAATCAGATAAGCTATTATCTATGTCTCCATGAAAAGCCACTTATGGCCATGTTAAAAGATATGTTTTGTGTCTTTGTCACTGCACTCAAGGGTGATGAGATGTAGGAGAAAAATCACAAAATTAAAAAGGAGCTGGGGAGAGAATTTAAAACCAATATCCTGAGGATGAAAGGGGTATAATTATGAGCAACTCCTGACCTGGCTTTTTTTTTTTTCCTTCCCTCTTGTTTCTCTCTACAGAGTTTTAGATTACTCATGTCTGTTCTGTAGCCATAAAGAATTCACAATAATAATAAATTTCAAGGCTTCCTTTGGCTGAGGTTTTTAAACTTTTTTTGCATGGAAGTTACTACACAGAAAACATCTATAGACAAAAAAATAATTCTGATTTGTGGACAAGTTTGCATTATTAAAATTAGGAAAGGGGGAGGAAATATTTTGGAACATTTTTGAAAGCTTGAAACAGGATTTTAACTTGTGCTTCTCCTGGTGAATGTTCACTGGATTTTCCTTGGTTTAAGTTACCTGAACTGAGCTTAAGATTTGATCCAGTGTGTGTGGCAGCGTGGAGGTTGAAATCTAAGCTGTTGTTTGTAATAACAGCAGTTCATTCAGCTTGTGCAGTCCTGTAGTTTATGGCCATGTGGGCTTATAAAGCTTTTATATCTTTCTTACCCCTGCATCCCTCAGTTGACTCTCTTCAAAGAGGAAAGGAGTAGGAGTAGGCGATGAGTATAGGTTGTCATTATCTGGGAAATGAAATATCTCCTGCTGCCCGCACTCAGAATCTGAAAAGGGCCGCATTTTCCCCAATATTCTTTTCTCCTGGTCTAGATTATTTGTAATTATTCTCAATGGGCAAATGCATAACAGTTTCTAAGCATGATTTAAAAATACTTGCTGCCGAGAACTGGACAACAGAGGAAAGCCCATTGTGTTGTCCACAAAAACTAGCCTTTGCTCATTGCATTTGCAGCCTTTCTGGATTGCACTGGCCCATCTTGAACTCTTTAGAGCATTGCTCAGTGCTTGTGATCCTGTGGGATGGGCCTTTGAACATTTTGCTACTTAAAGAACAAGAGAATGCATCAGGTTTTGAAGGAGATTTTTACTGTTTAGCCTGAGCTGCAGGTTGAAAGGATGATGCAGACAGGAATTTAAGCCCAGCTGGCTAGCACTTACATTAATGCTCTCTATTAATCACAAGGATTTAAAAAAATTTCCTATAATCCATGTCTAAAATTCTCTTAATTGTCATAAATCATCCAGGACAGCCACAAATACTCTCTTTGATGTGGTGTCATGCATGGCACTATTTTTTTTTCTTCAAAAAATGAGGTAAAAAAATCACCTAGCAGTAAAGTAGAAAAAGAAAATGAACATAGAACATAAGTGGGTCATCATCTGGTTACCATGGCTGGGTAAGGAGTGTTGGATTTTTAATACCTGAACACCAGCCATTAGATAGAAAAGTGATGCAAGGGGGTTGCAAGCAGAAAGTATTTAAAAGAGAGATTTAAAAAGAAGAGAGTATGCTGATGCAGAAAGGGGTTTCAGTTGGTAACACATACCCTTTGAGAACCTGTACATAGTTCTAACTTGAACAAATCATAAGTGAATAAAGAACTTGAAAATGGAATCAGTTAAAGGAGATGTAAAAATATTGTGTTATTTGAGTGGGGATTATACAGTTGAAGCTTAGAGTTTCAGAGTGCAGTAACTGAAGTATGAAGCTATAAGTGCATAAACAAAGGCTTTTTTCTTTGTTAAAAGTAAGAAACAGAGATGGATAGAGGAAATAGAGATGTGCATACTGATATGCCTTGTGATAATCCAAATTGATATATTGCCATGGTGAGAAAAAATGGTAATTGATTTTGAAATGGAGATTGTTTGGCAGGGGGGAAATAATTCTATATTTTTATAATTTTTGGCTTTATTCTTGGTTAATTGAATTCCACCAAGAAGGGAATACAGGAAAGGGTGTGCATGAGGAAAGCTATAGGTAGACAGCAGATCCTATTGGCATGGGGCTGGTGCTACACCCTGTGGAGTCAACAAGAAAAATGGCTACAGAATCCTGACTGAAAACAGATAAGTGGGAAAATATGATTATCCTAGTATAACCTAAAACAGTTCAGTGAGATAAGTCAGAAGAAACCCAGCCAAGTGCAGTCAGGGAGAACATATGTGCCCAAGAGATGACCTATAGCATGAAAAGCTGCTTAATTGTATTCTGTTAAATTTACTCCTTTTTTTGAGGGAAGGAAAATAAAAATAAAATTCACTTCAGTGTAATGGAATCAACATTTTGTAAACCTGTGTACAAGTATGCACCTTTTTTACATGCCTGGTAATTTAACTATGACTTAATTGCTTAGGGAGTAGGTCTGTTTGACATACACCAAGTCAGGCTAAGCCTGAGCTGCCAGCTGCTCCAATTCCTTCTGCAAGGTAAGGAAATGCCAGCTTTTGGATCTAGAAGGTAGACTTACAGGAATAGCCACAAATGTACTATGCTCAAAAGAAATTAGTAATGGACCTAAATATTTCTTTCTTCATCAGCAACAATTTGTGTTTGAGTCATATTTTCGGGTAGATTTTTTTATTAAAAAAGGGGTCAGGAAACTTGCTGGTTTAAGTCAGAGTTCAACTTCTTTCATAGTTGTTTAGTTCCAGGAGGTGTTGGTTTCATCACGTATTGTGAAATATAGGGGTAAATTGTCAGTGCTGGCAAAGCTATGTTTGAGCAGATAATTGATAGGACAAATTGGGACAAATGGGAATAAATTGACTTCATTTATGGAAATGCATGAAATCCCTCTGTCTTGCTTACTCATTGGAGATCTAGTTTTCTGCATTTGTTATGAGTCATGTTGGTCTCTAAAGATACCTTTGATCACACAGTTAATATACATCTAAAGTATGTTGCTTATATGATGAGCTTGCTATCTGCTCACTCTCTGAAGTTTTGTAGCACAAAGTGAATTAAAGGAACCCTTCCCTATGGTTATTATGTGTGTATGGGAAGTGGGCCATAGTCTCAGCCAAATACCATTCAGCTTAATTTCCCTGGCTCCCTAAATTTAGCTTGAAGAGCTGTCAGTGGAGGAAAAACCAATTAGACACCATAGCAGAGAAAACACTAATTTCCCTTGGCTGACAACCCCTACAAGGGGTTTTTCAACAAAGCAAAAGAACAGCTGTGAAAAAGAAGCCTTTGTGCTGATATCAAAGTATTGGCTGAGTCCTCAACTGTCCCTGCTAACCAGTCTGTTGGGAGTGTGGGTAGATATTGGAGACTAGAGACAGTGACAAGAAAGCTGTAGTGTCCAGACCCCAGCATGTGTTGTCAAAAGAAAAGATGTCGATGGGTGCTGGAGGCAGACCACAGAATGGTGAGCTGGATGGCTGGGAACATGTTCCATCCCTGACTCCCAGCTGGCTGCTGCCTCTGCAGTGAAGCAGAGAAGTCTCATCCCTGGCCATGGCAGTGCATGTAATCCAGTTCCCCACAGGGACTTGTTGCAAAGTCCCCTGGTTGGCTGTAGATGGTCTGGTTGGTGTATGGGTGTTACTAGAGTGTGGCAATGCACAACCAAAGCCAGAGCATGTGTCTGAAGTAAAGAGAGCATCACCATGCAGAGTCTCGGGCTGGCTGCACTGGGAACCCCAGCCATGTGGAATGGCTGTAGGAGCAAGGAGGCCCCACTAGGGAGCCCAGTAGCATGAGAGATGGCAAATAACAAAGCAAATGCAATTATTGGCATTTGTGCCTGAACTCCACCTAAACAGGCACAGCACAAAGGTCCCACCGTCTGGACAAAAATTCCTGAACTTCTAGGGTTTAATTAATGTTTGTTTTCTGTGCAAGTAAACTCATAGGCCTGAGCTGTTCTGCTTGTGTGTGACAAATTTTGTTTGAGGTAGGTGTATCATGTAGTTTTATGAGGCTATAGTACAATGGTATGTTGTTGGACTTGAGAGGCTATTCTTTGCTTCTCTGATGCAATGCCAAAAAAAAGAAAATAACAATATATTTTTGTAGTTCTCGAAAGGACAGATCTTTTGTCTGCAACTCGTCCTCCACATGTACCTATCTTGTCCTTGCTAATTGCTTGTATGACTCCATCGAAGATCTGGAAAAAAACATTGAGAGAGGAGGGTCTTGTCTCTTCAGTGTTGAGAAAGACAAGGGTATGACATGACCTGTGGAGTGCGGTTCCTTATTAATGTCAGAGGTTTCCAGAATAAAGTGGACAGTAGTGGGAATTTGCATAAACTCTGTCAAATGTAAATTTTTTTTGTAGCACTGTCTGAAGCTTTTTTTAGTACTGAGTATTATAGTGTCAATCCTGGTGTGCATTTGACCCATTTTATAACCTGAGAGAGATGTGAAGAAGATTCTTGGAAGACAGTGTTGAAGTTGGTTGCATAATGGATGCGCAAGAAATATTTTTTTCCTGGTTAGTGGGTGTGTTTGGCTATTTTTATGCAGTATAAGATACTTTGTACTGAAAAAAAGGATCATTCTCAAGTCTGACATACATTTTAAAAGTTATGGCCTTATAAGGTCTGTCAGTGGTTAATACAAGTAACATGCTCTGCTCTAAACCTGCATTGCTCAGCAAAATCTGCTTATTGGTACATCACTTTATCAGTGGCTATAAAGGGTTACTTTTATGCTTGTTTCCAGCAGAGCAAGAAGGATCAAATTTTAAATGTATGCAGGTGTCCTAACAATTTTGAAAATCCAATGATTTTTTGCTGGGTAGTTTTTTATTGGTTTAACTTAATTATGTTGACCGGGTGTTACCTGTGCTGCATGAATAGGTTTGAGCTCTGCTCCACAAATGGGTTGCATTGCCTGGGCATTGAAGAGGGGGGCAGGCAGGGAGGACTGGAATGCTGCCAGAGTTCTGCAAGGACTTGCTTCTGGGGCCTCCCAGTAACTGTTCTGTGCTGCCAATGTAAGAGGGTGACTATATCACACAGTATGTTTGAAAGACACAGATTGACATCTTGGGAAAACCCTGGTTGTGTTACTGAAATAGATTCAATAAAGCAGTTAGCACACATTGTTATAAAGCATTTTAGAGAGTTCATGTCTATAATAGTTCCAGGATATGCAAGGTAACATGAGTAGCTTTTATCTTGGGTATCTTTTCCTAGGCTGAATATTGCAATAATGTTTTCATGCACAAGTTTATGTTTACATAATGTTATACAAGCTTTTTTGAGAGTACCTAGTTGAAAATATTAGTATCAAGTTCAGAAATCTTAGCAGGTTTTCTCACTTTTATTTACCTGGAAGAAATGCTTGCAATCATTACAAATTATCTGTGTAATTTTTTAAAATACCAAAATGATTATCAAAGTGTATGGGAGAGGCTTTAGAGAAAGGCAAAAAGGAAATGTTTAATAAAGGGAGGGAGGAACTGTCTGTGAACAAGTCATAAGATTCTTTTTGCTGTAGTGAGCTCGTGCATTTTGGTCAAAGTACTTTGTGACTGGATTTCTTCCTATTGTTCTACTTCTCTTGCATAAAGAAGTTAAAGAATGATAAAATACTTTTGATGAAATAGTTTTGGGGTGATATTTCAACAACTGTGTTGAACAGTGCTGATTCCAAATACTTATTTCTGGTATTTCTTACTGTCTTAAAATATTCTCTAATTTGTGACATAGGCTAATTTTTCTTAAATGGGTATCTACTTTTTCTTTTTTGGATTTGTATTTTTGAAGGAGTTTCTACAGGTCTTTCAGTAAAACTGAACTGCTTTTATTCCCAAGTATTTTTAGAT